ATATGTATCAACGGAGTAGAGATGGTAACTAAAACCAGCTCTATAAAGGTTTAATTTCAATTATTTAAGTAAATATTATGTGTATGTATTGTTAAACGTATGCTTTTGTTAAAGTATAATACGAAAAATCAAATATCTGCTTCATATATTATAAATATACATGTTTGAAATAGGAATACATTTCTTTTAGTCCATATTTCTAGAAATTTGTCAGTCTTTAGTCCTTTTTTTATCAGATCATTGTTAGGGCCACCCCTTGCTCCTTGAAATGTTGGATGAACAGTAAAGTTACTGGTATTAAAATAATTTTGAGCAAAAATATGTGCTTGTGATTTGTTTGCTCCGCTATTCCTCTGAAAACTGTAAATTTTGCCAAATTATGCAAATACTTATATTGAAACGAAATTGACCTACATTTATGACGTCAAAAATACATCACTACTAACGCAGTCGGGAAAAATATTCTTTAACAGAAATAATTTGACTTTTAAACATGCGTTTTCATCAAATCTTTATAACATTATTACTGTTAACATATTTTAGATTTTTAGGGCCAAAAACTATGAATTAATGAATCAACTCCCTTGTCATCATGGTAATTGTCATCTGGTAATCTATAGCTACCTTAACTGATGTTTGTAATTTTCCTTTTTTAATTGAAGTATTATCTTCGCTATTGGTTTGTCAGTTTGTTGGTTGTGTTGTTCGCAAGGTAGGTATATTGTCACTACGGATTGACAGAAATGTCCAACGTTCTACATTCCGTATATATATATGTGATGTTCAGCATTATTCAACTTGTTTGTCCACCAGTCTTATCAACGGAGATAAATCTTAAGTGAAAACAAAACATGTACGAAAAACTATACATGCAACATACATGTGCATCAAACACTTGCAAAAAGAAACGCAATTAGTTTCCTTTTTTTCGTTCCGTTTCTAAAACTCTTATTTTCATTCATTACGACAAAGATTTTTTTTTTAATTCTGACCACCTTTTTGTCCATAGCTTTATATTGCATGTCGATTATATGATTTAGAAAAGCCAAGAAGGATAAGTTTGAAAAGCTAAACATAAATAAATAAATGTTAAATGAACAATTATTATTAAAAATATATACCAAATTATTTCCGAAACAAATCCTTTGTTAATACCTTTTTCTTATTCATATATGTCTTCCATAATTAATTATTAAGAACTAAACTTACTGAATATAAACAAACTGTCCATTATAGTTTATAGTGAATCTATTTCAACGGACCCAGGGTTACGATATCTGTAACATTTTGCTGACTGTATCTTTTTTGGACCCAGGCCTGTCCAATGCGTAATGCTATAGTCTGCAGGTGTTGGTTTTGCGACTTGTTATATTGTATTTTTGAGTAAAACAAAGGTTTTATCAATGTTACGACATACATCAGAACAAAAAACCTATAGCTTAATTCAAAATTTTCAATGTGCTGAAGCACTTATGAATACCTTCATACTTGAACAAAAAAAAAGATTATAAATGTAAGTTGTAATTGTAATGAAGTCATTGGTTTAATTAATTGAAAGACATACATAACTTTTTTTCCAGGCGGGCAACTTGATGTCTATATATTTATCTATATAGAGCTTATTAGGTATAAGACGTTTACAAGTCGTTTTTATTACCAAATCTTGTTTTATCTCATTGCCTTTGTGTTCATAGCTATACAATGTCTCTCAATTAGAAGATTAAGAAGCGCTAAGAGTAAAAACTTTGAAACAGGAAGTTTCATAAATTAATGTTAAAATGTTGTATAAAATAACAGTAAAAATTAATTCAGACATAAAATATAAAAGAATCTGTAAAAGAATCTTAACAAATTTATATCTTCGATAATGAAACATCAACGAGCTAAACTTCCCCAGCGTAGCCATATCTGATCCATGCATGTGACGCTACTTACTTTTAACTCGGTACATATGAATACGTAAAGCTCAGCTGGTCTGCGGTAACACGTGTTCAATATACTTTAATTCAAGAAACATAAGCTGAAATGTCGTTATCAAAGTTAAAGTATGCATCAAAAATAATTAGTCGTTGTTCAAAATTTAATTCAGTTAACATCTAGCGGAAGCACATATGGAACTTTTAAAATATAAATTAACAAATATAATGTTTGCTTGTATGTATACATGTAGTTAAATTATCGTTTTCAACTAAAAGACAAAGATCGTTTTTATCGTCTCTATGGCCATACGTTTGTCAGCTTCCTATCCCCTTAAGTGCGTTTCATTGTCATACATCTTAGTGATAAATAGGTACAAAATAACTGCAGTTGCAAATTGCATTTGTCTTTAATTATCTAATTATTCATGTAGTTTTAAATTGTAATTAGACATGTTACAACACTTTTTTTATTGCGTATTATTAAATTGTGTAAACAAACAAGGATATTCAGAAGGAAACGTGACTTTTCTCATCATTAAAATTATCAATCTTGTATTGGAACATTAACCATGAAAAGACCTATAGCCACAAACCAGGATACTCCAGTAAGTTATTTATGCCGTTATATAATTTCATAACGTCATAGTCGTGTATAAATGGTAGAAAATAGCAGAATATTTCAAATCCTTTCGTACATTAACGGTATTTTGTCATGTAAGTACATTTAAAGTCATATTAAGTGTATATTTAAAAGCATATTTTGTAATTTTTAAGCAATAGCAAAGTAAATGTCGTATCATATTATTAAGCAAAAGAAAATTCTTCATGCATAATGTACAACGTCAACGGAAAAGTATCGAAATTTGACATTATATCAAATGTTTATGAAAAATCAGAACCTAATTTTCCTATTTCAAGTGTTTCTCATTGGTACCAGTCAACCTTATTTTACAGTTTACTTGACCTTCTTTTGTTAGGTATAATACAATAGGACATATGTAACACAAGACCTGCCGAAAACAACTAAACCAGTCATACATTGCATTGCTCCATTTGATCTGGTATACAAAAGAGATAAGCATAATTAAGAGTGGTTTGCTTTAAATGAATTCAGATAATGTTAAAACTCAAAAGAATCTTGGAATCAAAATATAAGGACATCTAAAAAGTAATACAAATTAATTTTCTAACAAAAACAAAAAACAAAAACAAAAAGACGTACGGTAATCTCGGACAGACACATAGTGGCGCTACCGTTTCAGAAACCACATCGAAGACAAAGAAATATTTAATAGTATGCACACATGTACACCAAGATTTATTTGTTTGTTGTAGAGAACAAAAACGAAGTATGAACGTTTCTATGTGTTTATTCATCTGTCTGTTGTTAATGTCCGTGGGAGGTAAGAAAACTTAAGAAATTTTTTTTTAAATTCAGCGTCTGATTATTATTTCCTACTGTGTTTTATTCTCTTTTGGATAGATTCTTATGAGCAGTAAAATACCAAATTCTTGCAAACGAACAGTTAGTGAAATTATTCCGCTTTTTTGTAATAAAGTTGCTGTATTGACACGATTATTTCTTGTACTCACTGTTGAGCTGAGTTTTTGTAAGTTTCGTCGATTTAAAAATAAAACTAATTTTCAATTGGCGATAAAGGGTTATATGTAAGTAAGACAGCTTACAAACCAAACAACAGAACAAGATAAACATGCAGTATTTATATGTTAATTTTAATTCTGTTTAAATTAATCTCAAATATTTCAATATAAACACAATTTAAGGCTTAATGGTTTGTATGGGATTTTTTCTTAAATCTTCCTTTATGTGCCCTTTTCAGGTCCACTGATCACAAATACAATTGAGTTGGTACAGATATCAAATGAAAGGTTTATCCCCGCAACATTGCCATGTGGCTGTCCCTAGTAATGAACCTTGCACCGGTTGTCAACATTGACTGTTGTTTTGTTTTTGTTATTTTGAGAATTCATTTTTGAATCTAGGTCTGTGTTGTTTCCTTTATATTCCGAACAAATGTATTCACATCTTTATACACTAAAAAGGCCATTTAGATCTTATTATTAGACTCTTGAGTTCATTTCTGCTCTTTTGCATTGGGTTAATTTACTATTTGCCAATAACCAACATCTCCTACATATATCTTACTTTCGTTGTAATTTTTATCTTTTGTTAAGGATATGGAAGGTTTGTAGTGCGGAGGTCAAGAATGAGTGGCGGAATGGATTGGGTTATGTACCTCATTACCAGAATAAAAGTAGCCCGTTACATTTTTTTTTTAGAATAGATCACGATAGTTGGTCTTTGAATTGTCCGAAAATTTCTTTGGGTATTTTAAGAAAACAAATGACATTAATTGATAGAGTAGCATATTTACTATGTTGAAGTATAGTAAAACCTTTACGCTGATCATTTTTATATCAACGAACAAGAATTGATATGAATGTGTGTTTTGATAGATTAAGAGAGCTAACAAACAATATTAATTTGTTCATTATAAATTACTGCTACAACAGTTTGGGAGTGCGTGTGTGTGTGCGTGAGCGGGAATTGAACTTCTAGTATGATTTTATATCAACAATCAAAAGTAGAGAAATTGTTGATATTAGTTTTTTAATACTTAGTAAATACCGCTACTGGTGGTCTGATAGTCCCCACGGATAGTATAATCTCAGTAATTAGTGCTTCAGTACTGATATGCTTTATGACATATCTTTCTGTAGTTTCTGCTCGGTCAATTTTGAAATTTGAAGAAAAAAAAAGGATTCAACATCCATAACAAAGTTGACCTAAAGTCAATTTTGGTTAGTCCTTTCAGATCCCGTGTTGGTTTCATAGCTCTTTAAGTATTCACGTGATTTGTTTAAGGTTTGACCGTTCCTAATGAAGGTTGACCATGAAAGCATGATCCCATGTAATATGTCATAGCCATGACAGTTTATTTCGTATTCTTATCGTAGCGGGGGAGTGTCTATTCAGTTTTGACATTTTCTTGGTGTATGACACAAAACATATAACCTGGTTTCGTTATTTAATACAAACAATATTTTACTTCCAGTCAACATGGCACATGAAGAAATGCTTGAAGACAATGGCCTTATTCATGAGTAAGTTGAGTTGTATGGTTTGTTTACATTTTGAGTACATCAAGTTGAAATCTTAGTTGAGTCTCCTAAGGGTTGATTTTGATTAAGTCGGTTTGAATACAGTTTATTTCGTTGGAAATAATTGAATATCAAAAGGACATGGACATTGAAAAAAATCTGCACCTTTCAAATAGAAGTAAGAAACTTATTTTCATTGTATATTATGTTATCTTTCTAAACAATCCAAAAGACGTGATCTATAGATAACGTTATGTGAAAATATATTTAAGGCGATAAGATTCGGAAATTCAACGCTGAAATATTGTAGGAATATTCCTTGTACCTTATAATGAATTTATTGACTCGAAGATGGTAAATGACCATACAAACCAAAACTCGAGACACACCACAATGGTAACGAAAAGACAAAAGGACAAACAACAGTCTTCAAAAAATAAACTTTTAGAAAAACAAACCCCAATAAAATGGATATAAACTCATGTATTTCGGATATGTAGGAAGTTCATAGTCCTCATGTGTCAAATTCAAATGAAAAGTTATTTGTGCCAATAATACAGCCTAAAATAAATTGAAGAAAAGATCTAAACAAGAGACAAGCTCTTTATCGAAAAAAGGTGGTGACTAAAATCAATCGAGGAGATTAAAGATCTGCTAACATTATCAACTACCACCCAAAACAAACACTCACCAATGAACTACAACATGTATACATAAAGACGTTTTTCTTGACTCTTGTCGTATACAGGTGTTGAGATTTCATTTGTTTCTTAGAAAGCGACCTCTGAAAAAGCTTTAAAGCAATTGGATATGAGACATCCTAAAGAAGAAAAATCAAGAAAAGCGCTTTTGACTCAATAAATTTACTATATATTATTTTCATTTTTAAAGCACCCGTTCAAATACAGTTGCTGGTTGACTATTACTATCAGTTTCCGACATTTCATCAGCGCAGTAGTCAGACTTTTTGTAGTGACTAATTTAGCTTTCGGAAATTGTTCGTTTACATACATAGAAATTTAAAAAAAAAACTACTGTTTCAACTCCCTCACAAGTATACTTTAGAGTTGTATATATCCTTTCATCATAAAGCTATTCATATTTGTTGTTATACATACAAATTTGGAGATTTTGAGCAAAATATGATTTCAGCTTTCCTGAAAAAGAAAAGCATTTATATATGGGCATGCAGGTGTATTCACAACTAAGCGATAATCACATTTTACAGCATGTACACTCTGAATTATAGTTGTTCGAAGTAAGTAGAAAAAATTGTAATCTGCACTTGTACATTACGCATTCCTGTAACAAACGATGTAATATAGATATATAGATTCTCAAGTAATATGCAGTTATTCACTGATATCACCACTAAACGAAATATGAAACATTGTATTCTACATATTTAATGTTTTGTTTTAGGCTTGTAAAAAGAAGTCCATGTTCTGGAAGACGATGCCATTCCAACTATCAGTGCTGTAGAGGTTGGAAGTGCTATAACAGGAAATGTAGGCTCTATGGTGGTTAATGGGTTCGGCTATCCATTATTTACAGGTTCTTACCAAGAAATTATTATCTTTTAACTAAAGGACTTGTAAAAATGAATATCAGATGAAATGAAATAAAAATCTGTAATTTGTTTCTGAAGGTGTTTTTATCTTATTTATATGTGATACAATGAAAATCACAGAAATTGTAAAAGATATTTACAAGTAGAAAATTGTAAACAGATTACCTAGGCACACGGTTGATATTCGAACGACAAGACTGTTACATGTGTAATGACTTGCTTATTTCGGTTTTGAGTTCCCAAAATGTTAAAGTATTTTTAAACAAGAACTTAAACAGAGAAAAATAAAACTTCCAATACTGCTTTTTACTATCTACTATTGATTAGAAGTTAATAAAGAAATCACAGTGAAATGTTGTAATAGTTCTTCAAGATAGAACTTGGATATTGAAGGTAGATTGCCGTTTATGGTATATAATAATGTTAACACGGGTTTGATACTTTTTACGAAAATTGTCGACGACGTCTTGAAATACTTTGTAACGTTGCATTTGTGTATGCACGTGAAAATGAAATGAATGTGTACTGCCCAAAATGTTAACATTCGTAAAAGGTATGGCAGCCCGGCGCCTCAAAACTTGAGAAAGCTGTCAATATATATTTTATTGGATAGTGAAAGGTGATAAAAACAACGTCTACACTTTTAAAAGGTATCTGTGTCATATTAAATTGACAAGAAACACAAGCTGTATGCAAGTGTATTGCCTCTGTTGAACCGGTGTGTACCCGAAACACTTCTGTTTATATCACGAAAATCTAGTCTTTTTTTTTTTATTTACTTTCACTTTAGGCACTTTAATGTTAATCTTATAAGAATCGCAATGTTTAGAGGAAGTGATTGCGCGATCTTATACTACAACACACTACAGTGTTATGTAATAACTTGATTAAGATTTGTCTCCTTCAATTTTTTTGCTATATATTTCAAATAAAACTACATGATTCAATTAAAATGAACATGGTACCTTTGGAATCAAAATTTTCACAGCTTTGTTTGTTTATTCGGACATAGTTTTGTTGTTAAGTGCTCTCATTGTCTGGTGATATAAAAACAAGTCTTATTTTGTCCGGAAATTTACTGTAAATATTTTTTTTCCAATTGAAGTGCTAAAAAATAGTAATACATGTTCACATGAAGAGAACTCATAAACAACTAACCGCAACATAAAGACCAAATAAACAAATTTACTAGAGACATTTCTGTGACTTACAACACATGGCTTGTTAAAATCCAACCCTTTATGCTTTCAAAATATTTTTTTGTTTTCAAACAAACAGCAACAAGTAATAGATGTTAGACTAATACTAATTGCATAACACATATCTCTAATGTTAAATCTTACATTTTGCTTGGAGAAAAGTTTGTTTTGTGAAATACCTAAAATAAAAGTCTGCTCGGACAATATGATTGTTTTACGACACTAAATTTGAAAATGCATTTCAAAATCACTTAGAAATACTTAAGATTAAAATTTGGTATAATAATTTTGAAGGGATATCTTTAAAAACAAAATCAAAAATGATACTCTGCTTCCAACAAGATTAAATAAACACTACAGTATACATTGCACAGATATTTTACTATATGCAGTTACATTTACAAAATAACAGCAGCAGCCGACACATACTCAATTTTAAGTATACTAAAAAAAGTAAAAAAAAGATGAAGTCTGGAAAGTTTTGGTCAGACAACACAGCAATGACGCAGACACTGTCAGTCTTTTGATGCAGATGGTTGCCGCAACATGCAAATCTTTAAAGGAAAAAGTAAAAGATCATTTAGCAGGTGGAAAGTTTGAAAATATTACAGCAGATGTACAAAGACAGATGCAATCAGTCATTTGACACAACAAATTACATGAGTGGGTATTTGAATATCTTGATTGACTCCTTAAACACAGACCAAATTCAACAAGACTAGCCAACGAAGCACACATCGTATACAAATTAAACAAATCATCAGAGTGGACCCACAAAAAGACTGAACGAAAGATTGAAAAGCTAGTTCAATGACCAAAACAAATGTTACTCAGAATCAAGTTTCATGAAAAAGAGAGAATCAAAGAAATAAAAAAGCAAATAGAGGATCTTAGCAAAGCAAAGGAAGAAAAAGGCAAGACAAAAAAAGCCAAATAACTGGAAAAGAAAAGAGTATTATTGGACGCCATCTTTGTAAAATGACTGTTGAAGTCGATGCAAGAAATAGAAGTTAAACTACAACAGAAGTCCAAAAAAACAGAAAAGAAAGATGTTGACCATTCAAATAAGATTTAGACAGTTAGTCATGGAAAAATCTGCTGACAAAAAAACTTTCCAAACAAGCAGATTTGAAGGCAAGCCAGTTACAATAGATATGCTGATATCCAACTTGGAGATTTTGATTAGATTATAACATGTATCAGGTGTGTGGTTATTAATACATTTCATAAAACAAATATGTTTTAAAGAACACATTAAATTTTGACATATGTTGGTGAGACAGCAACCAAACAACACGTTCATATAATCAAAATAGAATACGAAATGTTTATAATATTTAAATAAATAACTTCAAACTGGCCTAAACATTTACTCAGTAGATTTATTCATTTATGTTGTTGAGTTATGCTGAATTTAGATTTTATAGTGCAAAATTATACTAGTTCAATTAACTGGAAACAAACTCACCAAAGATACCAGCGTCTCTTTTTACAAAAAAGTCTTCTCGTAAGTCATACACATTTTAAGATAACTTACGATCATATCGTAAATTTCTAGGTGAAAAAAGTCGCAAACTAATATGCATTAGAAGGTGAGTTTATACAGACCACCATCTGACTGCAATAGGCAACAAAAAAATACAAGATACCAATTAAAGAAAAATGACAGTTGCAAACACAATTGAAAAAACAGCTAACTAAGTACTCGTAACAAAAAAAAAAACTTTTAATTATTTTGATTTGTGTCGTATTCATTTCAAACTACCAGTAAGCTTTATATATATAAATATAGTAACATCATAACATTAAATACATTAGTTTGTGTAGGTTTTATTCTTAATATTTTGAGGGTTTTTTTTCAGAAGTAGAAGTAGAAGAAACAACAGCGACTGAAGAATGAATGGCAACATATTAATGAACATTAACTTAAAATTGAAATAAAACATTTTTTTTGTATGATGTAGTTTAAATATGAACATCGTGAGATGTCTGATGAACTTTAATGAGACAGCAAGCCAGCAGCACAATCACAATTGATAGTTGGAGGTCAACTTAAACTTCATGCAAAAATAAAGTTTGTGGTTTTCGGTGAAATTTGAAAACATGTGATGAAGTTCAGTTGAACGTTAGCTACTCTTTAAGGCCATAATACAATTTGCACAGTTTATTTAGATTTATTGTTTTAGAACTTGTTTATGAATACATTTTTTATTCCATATTTAAGATAGTTTATCAGTATAGAAATAAGGAGATGTGGTATGGTTGCCAATGAGACAACTATTTTTCAAAAGTTTTGAATTTCTTCTTTTCTTGTTTGGTTATGTCTTTCATACCAGTTTCGTATGGACTTTCCTCTGTGTGATTGTGATTGGTTTCCATGTTAATTATGTAACATGAAGTCAGTTTTCTGTATTTCTTGCATATCTTTATTAAATAGCATTATTTTAATGATTTATGGCATTAACATGATATGCATTGCTCAGAAGTTTTCCACGGTATGAAATAACGTTGTTTTCTGAACTTCAATTTTTGCTGATAAATGATGTTGGGCTGCTACTATAACCTTGTTCGTGTTCTCTACAGGACTGTAACATATCTTATAATTATTCGACAGTGATTCATTATTTATATGTTAAATTACAAAGGCATTTCAAAAGGGCAGTATGACAATAATTTAGTCTAGGGCCATAAGACCAAAAACAGCTTCAAGAGAAGAAAATGCGCCAAAGGTGGAGATTATGTCCTTGAAAAAAAAAGCCCCATACCAATGACCAGAAAAAATGTCATTTTGTTTTATTAGGTAAGTCGTACACGTATGCTTCAAATTGTTGTACACAAGTAATCCTCTTCTGTTAAACTGGTGAAAGCTGCAGAGTCACTACTTATTGGTTTGAATATTACTTTGATATCTTTCACCTCTGTTTTAAAACATGCAGTAATTGTCTTTAAAATCATATACTGACGGACTTTAAAAACGCAACACTAAATTATTCTTTTTAATTTTCATTTTAAGAAATGCAATTCTTGTGAAATAAATGTATAAACATGATTAAGTTCGTTCATATGATGATTAACGCTTGCTGTTTTGGTTGTCTTTGTTGCTGTCTCTTTGACGTTTATCTTTGTGCCAGTTTTGATATTAAACAGCATAATCGTGTAAACTACCTTCGATATCCAAGTTCTATCTTCTAGAGTTACTTCACTTATCACGACAGTTTACTGTGATCTCTTTGATAATTTTTATCAGTTACCTATATTTAAAGGCAATATATGGCATTTTTTTTAATTCCCTCTGTTACATTTCTTGTTCCAGTGTCTTCAATGAATTATCATTGATATGGTAATAATTCTAAATTAACTGTTGACAAAACTTTGAATTTGTCGAAATACTACGGATTTCCTACCCTAAGAATAGATTACCCTAGCTGTATTTTGCAGACTTTTTAAGGAGTTTTGGGTCCTCAATGCTCTTCAACTTCGTATTTTATTGTTCGTTTTAACTTTGTTTATTCGAGCGTCTCTGATGAGTTTTTCATAGACGAAACGCGCGTCTGGCGTACACAATTTCGATCCTCATATATATGAGTTTATTCAACTGGATTTATGACGGGTTGGTACTTCAAACAAAAAAAAAACATAAAGAAAGAGTCTTATCGTTCTAGTATCAATTGTGTGTTTGTGTAATCAGTTAACTACCTTTAACTTTAAAATACGTTTACCAATTCCTGAAAGTGATTATCAGTGTAGCTCATATAAATAAAAGCAAACAGTGTTTCAAAAGAAAATATAGATTTTAATCTCATTTTGTTGGATATTCATTTTTTGAAGTCCTATATGTAATAGGTGATAATTCCTCGGTTCTATTGGACTGTTATGAT